TTAGAGAAATGGGGTTGGAAGAATGCGATAAGAAAAGGACGAAGAACAGAAGAATGACTAAAGAAGGAGGAGACGTGCAGAAATAAAAGCAGTAAATAGCATTGCAGGGAAGAGAGGAGGAAGTATAAAAAAAACCGAGATAAAAAAAGAAGAATTGGGACGAAAAGATCAATGAAACGTCAGAAATAAAAAATCTTAGGGTATCAAAAACAGTATTTAGGAGAACGGAAGAGACGAAAGAAGACGAGGAGGAAGTAGAGAGTAGAGTGAAATTAGAATCGAAGATGAGGTGGGGAAAAAAGAAGAAGAAGAAAGAGAAGGAAGGGAGAGGGGGGAAGGGGGCCGGTTGTCTGACTTAATGCCGAAATGCCACTGCCATTTTCATGTCTCTCCCCTTTCGCTGTGGGTTTTGTAGGCAACATTTGCATTATTGCATTCTGATTTTGGCGGAGCTCTGCAACGACACTGCAACTCTTGCTTCATTCTGGGTTCTGGTGTTTTTTTTAACAGAAGTTTTAGAATTATTGCAGCTTAAAATTGCAAGTATATAAACAACAGCACAGGGGAGGAGAAAGCCCGACCTAAACACACTTGTTCATGATCACTTTATGTGTTCCATTGTGTTAATGTATACAAATCCACGAGGACCGTGACGAGGATTCGAACCTGCGTCCGAGAGCATCCCAGATGCTGCCTTAATCGACTGAGCAGCGATATGGTCAACAGGAGTTGAAACCGAAGTTCTACTGAACTAAGTGGATCCTGCAGCCTCTCCGAGGCACAAACCAGGGTTTTACACAACTCCCCCCCCCCCCATGCACTCGAGCTATATACATCGCCCCATCCACGCTTTCTTCTTTCCCCTGGTCCCCTCCCTCTCTCTCTCTCTCTCTCTCTCTCTCTCTCTCTCTCTCTCTCTCTCTCTCTCTCTCTCTCTCTCTCTCTCTCTCTCTCTCTCCATCTCTCCCTCAGTAGCGTGAAGGACACCAGCATTTCGCGTGGTAGTAATCTTTGGGATAATACAAGAATCACGTTCTTCTCCCTCCCCCTCCCTCCATCACGGGATTGAGACTCTCCCTCCCTACCACCACCACCACCTCAACAACAACCACTAACACTCGAATAACCTAACCTAACCACCACTACCACAATTAGAGGGAAAAAAGTCAAATGTGATATAGAAATTTTTATCCCAGACAAGTGTAAATGCCACGGAACAAATCATCCCAATAAAAAAAGAATCCCGCAAGGCAAAGTATCAGAAGTAACATCAGACGATCCAGTAGTCACGAAAGAGAAGGTAAAAGAAGCACTTTGAACACTTAGAGGAACAAGACGCAGCAAAATCTATACACTAGAATTTGAAAAAGTTCACGAGACTCGAGATCTTCCTGAAAAAAAGGAAAAACAAGTCCTAGTATTAACAAAAATGGGAACAGATGAGATGCAATGAACTATATCCCACTATCACAGGCAAACATTCCTTGTGAACACGGTAAGGATAATCACGATGAAAATAACGGAGCACCCGAAGATAAGCTTTGTAACTAAAGGAGAAAAAGGAATTACAGTAGAACACACAGAGATCACACTAACGTGATGCATTAAATGAACAAATCCACAAAGGCCGTGGATTTGCCACAAGGGTAGCTCAGTCGATTAAGGCAGTGTCTGGGATGTTCCTGGACGCAGGTTCGAATCCTCGTCACGGCCCTTGTGGATTTGTTCAATTACAGTAGAAGTCAGGCCAGGTTAACGGATCACTAAAACTCGATAGGAGTAAATTTCCTTTTCTAAGATGTCAAAAGTTAGAGTCTGTTCCTCACCCCCCAAGAAAATGACTCGTATAAAATGAAGAAATGTCCCGAAATAGCTAGGAAGGCACTGATCTGTTCAAGAGATTACTTGACATGCAGAAAATATGGGATTACACAGTCATATGGGATTACACAGTCATATGGGATTACAATATGGGATTACTTCAGTCCACAGAGGTGGACTGAAGACTTAAACAGCAAAAAGCAGCTGCAAATCACACTGGGACACCAACATCGACAACATCCTCACACTAATCATTATCTCATCCTCCCTCACAATATACAACCATAAAGCCCAACCATTTCTCACGACATAATTCAATACTTGCCTTATTTCCTCACAGTAATTTATTCTCCCTACCCCGGATCACATAGGCCTAATTATTTGGCCTATCACGTCACATCCTCACAATGTACATTACTGCCTTCCCCTATGCACACTTACAATAAAAATAAATTGATCCAATGTCCCTTTACTCCACTACAATAAATGGTTTTATTCTGGTTCATATTTACCCATCTTCACTTCGCCTCCCCCCCCCTCTCCCACCTTCTTTACTTCCTTACAGTAAACCATTATTATTCCCATCCCTATGACAGTAAACTACAATGTAAACCTTGAATCACCCCTCACAATAACGATTGTAACCACCCTCACTACTCCTTCTATCTTGAAGTAAATATTTGTGTTACTCCTACACCCTCTCCATGAACATTCTTATAAATCCGCGCACTTTCTCAAGACTAAGCGGCACCATCTATATGAAACAACTTGGAAGACGTTTTGGCTTTTTTTCGCCTAAGCAACTTAATAGAAAAGATCAGTCTGATATATAACTCGAGGCAATGTTAAACACACAATTATATATCAAGCAGAAATAACGTCGAGTGTGTTTGCAGGTCATTGGATCTAACGAATGAGTATGCACAGGTCTTTATATATTTGGTTGAAGACAATTCACAGGAACACTCGTGAAAGTCAACCAGGTTCCTGCCAAGGGCTTATTCTCTATGATTACGTGCTCTCACTAATGCACGCAAAGATGGTTCCCATTACACACACACACACACACGCACACACACACACACACACACAGTAACCAATCAATTATCCCACAAAATACCTGCTATATCCTATCTATAACTCCAACAGGATATGGATTAGCAGCTAGGGTAAAAACTCACAACCCAGAGATCGACCGCTGGCCAATTATAACTTTAAATCAACAAATCTGAACAAAAAGTATCCTCGACAAGGTCTTGTGAATTAAAAAATATAATTTTTTGTTTGTGAAAACAAATGGATGCAATTTCAATTCTTATTTAATATTGAGAATATTATATTTGCAAAGGGATACTTTGGTTTGAGCGGAAATTGTAAAGGATAACGAATGATGGTAAACCTGTATATAATTATATGGAGAGATGAAGCGAAAATGTATTAGAGAAGGAACACTAACAAATAGGATTCGCTCTTTCGTGAAGTCTCAAATCAAATCTTGGGTTGCATTTTCTAAAGGTTTTGATGCTTACTCGCACTGTTTAACACCTTGAAATGGACAGGATAGAGGGGGTAAGAAGGGCGAAAGGGGGAAGAGAAGAGGTAGGTGGACAGGGAGAGAAGGTAAAGAGATTGGGAGACGGAAAGAGAAGGGAAATACTGGGGGAGAGGGAAGAAGAGCGTTGAGGAAAAAGGTGATGTAACCGAAGAAGGTGGAGAGGTAGGAGAGAAGGGGAGAGGGGAAGAGAGATGAGAAAGGGAAGAGAGGGGGGAGGAGAGAGATGAGAAAGGGGAGTGTAAGACCCACACACTCTGCAGTTCAGACCTCTCCGCGTGCTTACTGTTCAGAATTCCTCCCCAGAATCTCACCTGCTCCTCAACGCGACTATTAAGGAGCCAAAGTGTCAAAAACCCAGCAATTCAGACAATTTGTCTTGCTAATTAAAGTAATTAGACCAGCCGGGAATGAAGAACGTTTAGTGTAAGCTTCGAGCAAAATCAGTTCCCAAATCCTTATGTTAAAACCATGTAGAAAAACTGTAATCAACTTACAAAATTGAGGTAATATATTGAGGTTATTTGTTTATGATTTTCCAATGATTGATTTCCAAATTTCAGCATTTAAGTACATTTCAGTACACTTAAGTTCTATATGTACTCTTGTTAGTTCCACGTGTGCACATATGGTTTAGTTGTACATTGAAGAGCACAGGAAGCCTGTTGAGTATACATGGGTCTCCCCTCCCCCCCTAGGTTAACTATCTATAATCCCCAAGGTGCAACCCAAGACAATAGGGCCAGTTATCTACTCCTACGTGAACCAGGGAGGATATCAGGAATAACAACGTTCTTCGTTTCATGCAGGTCGGCGTTCAATCCCCGA